TCCACATTCTTGAAGCATTCCTCTCTCCTGTAAAGAACTGTGAAGCCTTTGTACCTGCATCTCCCTTGTTGGTGGTCTTTGTTGATTTACTTTTAAATGACAGGTGCCTTTCAACACACAGTCTGCATACAGCACTAACTCCTAGGTTTTTTCTCCTAGTGTACAATGAATTTTATTGGTAAGGTTGATAAAATATCCTGTACACCTGTATTGCAGTCGTACAATGTATGTCAACCAATCTTGTAACAAATTTTGTAACTAATTTAGTAACCATATTTGTATAACTTGGATGTATCTTTCTTTCCTGTTTTTACTGGAAGGAAATTCAAATTCATAACAAGCAGCAAGCCATGGTGGCTTTACTGTTCTAGTCATTCTCTTACCTTTCCTCTTTTGAAAAAATTGAGTGAAATTTGGCAACGCAAAACAACATTTCTAGCACCGCCTCGGAAATGCATGTCAGTCAGCATGTGAGCAGCGCACTAGTGCTGCAATTAGGCAGGCGGCAGCCAGGCTCTAGCTGGGGCATGCACAAAGCTTTTTTCAATCTGGTCACATGGCCACCATAAAGGAATCAACCTTTGGACGGTGTATGTGCGTGCGTGCGAGCTACATTTAGGCTGTGATGGCAATCAGGCTTGCTTAAAAGCCAGGATTTGTTTGGGTTGTGGTCGTGACAAGTCAATTACAATGGCACTGGCGGCAAGCATGCTTGCGTCCTCACGCTAAAAAGACGAAGTGCGGTTTGCAGAAATGATTCATAATTGAAGCCTGCATTCTTTTTCCACTCGTCAGTAATTTAGAGGCAGTATTTTTTTATCATCCTTTTAAAAACTTTGAGTTAAGCGGATGTAACGGTGTGGGCATTTCGAGTTATGGAGGTATTTTTGTACATAAAAGCTTATTATTTTGGCAGGAAAGAAGAATGGCCTTGAAATAAGCGGCGTTTCGAGTTAACCGACTTCGAATTATGAGCTATCGAGAGTTTATTGTAATTTGAAAGGCCACATGGAAATAGGATGGTTCAAATGAATTTGGTTTGGTTGTTGCATTATTTCCATGAGCCAGACAAAAAAAAATATAGGCTTCAAAAAGGTCCTAGCTGATTGGGAAAAAACCAATGTGGTTGGGATAAGGCCTTGACATTATAGCTATTCATTTTCTTGTAAATTCTGCCAGAGGGGATTTCTGTGTCTTTCATGGTTCTGTAAATGTCCCATTCAGAATTTGGTCAGGTTTCTACACCTTGGGACACTATCCCAGTATTTTGCATTTTTCAGCAAACTTGGTCTCCCAAATTTAATGTAATCACATTTGAAAACTGGCGTGACTCAAGTGAATCTGAGCTTGCTTTATGTGCTGTACTCTATTTGATTCCCTTTGTTAGACCCAGTTTGCATTGTGTATGGTTCACAGTGCGCAGCTTCTCTTCATTGAATGCGCCTATCCCAAGTTCTTTGCGTGCATCATCTGGTCTTATGGCTTTATCTTCTTCATCATGTTCATGGACTTCTACTTCAAGACTTATAAGAAGAGTGCGTCTCTGGCAGCAAAGAAGAGTGAACAGAATGGTGTGGACAAGAGTAAAGTTCATTAATAAAGAGCCATTGTGTCAGTGTCAGTTGGAGTGATTCTTACCAGATCTGACTGGTACTGACAAGCTTTGAATGGTTTACTTGTTTTAATTTGACTGATTATAACTAGTTTGACATGTGTGTATTGCACTGATTATTTAATGTGTGGTTACTTGCAGTGAGGGTAGGCTGTGACCATGGAGCTATTATTAAACACAAGGAGTTAGAATGAAGTCCCTGCAAACCGTAATATGATTAACTGCTCCGGTCGGCTCCATAGACAAAGTGTGGTTACCGGCCCCAGTGTTGAAGACCCTAGACATTCTTTGTAAGCAGTGATCACCATGCCAGGTAGCTGGTAGCCCACAGATTTGCCATGTTTGGCTGCGGCATACTGGAGTAAATAAATGGTGGAAAAGATGCACAAAGAAGATGCGCAGTTCTCTTCAGTAGTCCTCAGGAGTCAGCGAGTGATCCCCAAGAAGCGCTCGAAAATTCTGAATTGGCAGTTGGTTATTTGGCAAAAGTCAGACGTTTTTAAAGTCAGTTATGACATTTTGCATTTCCGGTGGTAGAGAACAAGTACCCAAAATATGAACTGTGATATTGATATCATAAGTCGCAATCCTAGTGGTTCCTATGGTTAAAGAAGGTGGAACCATGCCACAGGAATGCATTTGACCATGTTGCAAGGTTTCATGCCTCGCATGATGACAATGACAGGAAGGACAATGAATCTTTCCATGTTTTTGTGTGTTTTTTATTTTCCTCTGGACCAGCTACATTGTTTCAGTTTTCTTGTCGCTTATTTTTGGAGAATTTTTGTTAGTAATTCTGTATATAGTTTAAAAGAGACGTTTTGGGGATGAAAAGGTGTAACCAGACTTTCATTATCATTGGAATATCAGAACAATCACTAAAATTATCAAAATTTAAGTCTCCGATGATGGTGATGGTTTCTGTCTTATGACGGCCATGTCGAACGTGCGGAAGTGTTACGTAAATGCATATGCGGTACCCACAATCCTTTGCAAATGCAATTCCGAGCATTCCTTATAGCCCGCAAGTGGCACATAATTTGTTCTGTCCTTGCAGCACTTGCAGTACCGGCAGTGGCCTCATTAACCCTTTTGATCTCTGTGTGTGCTTACTCCTTGTGTGTAATAGCTCCATGATGTGACATTTCACACAGGAAAAATTTACAGAGACATATATTTGTGTTTGTGTTGTGACTTGTTCTTTTTTCAAATGTAAAATACAATCGCTGATTTTGAAAACTTAAAAGTGTTTTGTAACGCGCCATGTGCAATTCAGTTAAATAAGTCCATATGATTCCAGAACAGGTAAATTGAATGTTAGGATTAAAGGAACCTGATATTAATATGCAGCCAATGGTGAGAACAAATTTCTTGCTGGATTATCTAACGTTGAATTGGCACTTTTGTCATCCAATTCCATTCTTCAGAATACTGTGGACCTTTGAAGATGTTGGAAATTTTAGTGACGCTTGACATATGTTCAATCAATTGGTTGGGGAATCCTTATTTGAGATGGCCGAATGATATTTTCTCCAAACATGAATAATCATAAGTTTATAGATACTCATAGGAATGACCGACAGCTTGGTTCTTCTTCAAATAATAAGAAGTCAAAACTAGCTGTAATACACCCCACACACAAATTGTTGGCAGTCGGTATGCATATTGATGGCTAAGCAAGCCACATTTTACTGCATATTTTTCCAAAGTAGGTGAAAATACATTTTCAGGATTATTACCATTTTTGGTTGTTAAGTGTATTAAACTCTTCATTAAATTGAAAATTATCCAGATTTTGATTTGAGCAGCTGAATTTACATGTACATGTAGGTTTCACATGTACATGTAGGTTTCACATGAGGCATGAAAGGAAACATTCTGAGATAGTATTGGAGCATAAAGAAAAATTTAATAATGGAAATTTTCTATCATGCGGTGCAGTTCATGTATCGTAGGTCTATTTACATGTAAAAACCATCTTATGATTTGCATTATTACTTATATACACATCATTTATAAAAGGTTATTCCAATGTAGTCATAACCTGGACCACAATAAAATGGTCTCTTGAAATGAAAAGGTGATAACAGCCATTATTTATGACCATCGTTCAGTTTACTGAGATTCTTTTCAGTAATTTACTCCAAATGTTCAGAGATGATGGTCATAATTACAAAATACAACAGAAACCAGGTAGGCCCATACATGTATCCTATCAATGCTGACCACATACTTGCTAAGCAGGCAAGTTTGCTTCAGCAACCCTGAAGTAATAAGATGACAGTGTTCTCAAAAGTTGATGTATGGTACTAAACAGGTTTGTAATGTTTCCCAGGTGATCGGTGAAAGTTTGAAGAGCTGATAGTTCCTATCTCATTGACCTGTTAGGATTCCAAGAGTAGACTCTAATTCTTGAATGAAGGTCAACATTAGATGCCAACAAAAATTTGGATTGTGCTTTTTAAAATGTATACATGTAAATCGAAAGGAAAGTGGGATTTATTGTGAAGCTGATGAACAGAAAGTTGAAGTGTCTTTGTGGCACAGATTGCTGTGTTCTGTGATGGCTGTGCTGTTGAAATGTGTTTATGTATAATTGAATTTTACAGATGAAAGTGCACCTGTATTCTATTCATTCATTAGATACAATTAATGGATCTTGCTTACAAACAATCCTAAATATTTGTTGTGTTGAACAGTAAACACTGCTAGAGTAATTCTGTGGGCAGGTGGTGTGCCCTCATTAAATATTCCTTTTAATAATGGGGTGACTTGCCAAACATGGCCAAGTGCATGCTTGCCTCAAAGAACATGCAGAAATGATGTCTCCTCAGATGAGTTTAGAGAGGGTACCACATCATGGGTGTTGCCAGGATATTTTCTTTTTCCGGGGACTTGTCTGCAGCATATTGACCATTAATGGTAGAAATACTCAGGAGGCCCATGAACTTTGTTATGTTAATGTCTGTGGAAATACAGGAAATTCAGATATTTTCCATATGTGAAGATTCCTCAGTGTTGCAATCCCACGTGGTTTCAGGGTATATTCTACACATTATGAGACTGAAAACTGCAGTTGAATAGCATACGTATACCATTTTTTTTTTCTTAGATGGATTTGACTTATCCACTTATGCATACATCTTGTATGTCAGGTTATAGAGGCTGTACTGTGTAATAAATTAGCACTGTAATTAATCAGGTGTGTTTTACACTTGTTGGTTGTTGAGTTAAAAGCTCATTTTGAACCAAGTGTGTAATGTCTTAGTATGTCAGAGAGTGTTGTTTCATGGTTTTTCCAATCAGAAATTGCACGACTACAGTCAGGCAGACTGCAGGCATGTCACACAGTCAGAAGTGAACAAAGAGAGTGCATTTCTTTATACATCAAACATTCCTTTTAATAAACTCATTTATCATCCAAACACACAAATATTACTACTGCAGAATTTCCCTCTCTGTGTCTACTTAGTCTTTTTGCGTTCTGAAAAATCACGGGGAATGCTGGGAGACCTTGAACCTCAAGAAATAGAGCATTGGTAAAAATACAGCAAAGTCTACATAATGTAGATCTGCAATCTGTGAAATGTCCAAAGATGGTTTAAATCATTACATAACCCTTGAAATCCAATTGCAAAGTCACCACAGCAATGTACAATTGTCACCAGTACGTGTGTGCCCCTTTACTCTTGAAGTCATGGGCGTGAATGAAGGTGCTAAAGTGTTGGTAATTTTGTCACACTTCACTCTCAAGAAAATGTGCTACATGTTACTATGCTCCAATTAAAGCCCATGTAGTCACTTCCCATTTCTTTTCACTAAATTCTAGAAGCAAAACACTACCCTCCAGACTTTTACAAGTCAGTTTCCATCTTTCAACATAACATAAAACATGTTATCAAACATAAAACTTGAAACTTCAGAATTTTCATGTTACTTTGAGAAACCTTTTACTAAAACATATCAACATAAAGTGACCCCGTTTCAATCTTGGAGCTGTTCTTTCTCCTCTCGTAGCCTCTTCCGCTTTGCCCGTGCCAGTAACCTTTTCTCTCGTTCATACTCCTTCATACGCATCACAAAGCTGCAGGGAAGAGAATTGCATGAATCATGAAAGGGAGAACAATCTACATTGTTCACCCAAAAGAATGTTTGGAACAATTCTTGATCAAGGCACTGTTACATGTACTTTCTGCCTTTTCCTTCATTGGAGAACATGTACCCGAGGACAGTAACCCAGCATACATGTACTGTATGGAGTGGTATTGTGTCTTCTCTGCACAGCAGATTTACTCTTGGGAATAATTTACAGGCCTGATGAGTATAGATCATAACTAGCATCTTGAATGCCTAGAACAGTACAATTACGTGTATAAAACGCATTAGCACTTGAATCACAATGCCCAAGTACTCCATTTGTTTGCACTTCCATTTCCTGGTTCAAATGACATCACCCTTTACAGTCATTTACAAAAGTTTAAGACCGCCTGGAATTTTATTGGTATTCTGTCACTGGGCCTGCATTACATTGTCTCACCGAATGATTACTTAACATGTTTTTACAGTAGTGCATAACATCAGTGCAGTGCTATATACCCATTTGAATGAAGGTTTTTGCAAAGGCAGATCTGGTGTGACATTTTGTCTGTCAGGCAGCATGGGTAAAAAAGGCCAGTCTAAGTAATCAGAAATAAAGGAGGGCACACTCAATATTGGATTGTTAACATTTTAAATCATGGAAATGTAGTCAAATGGCTGTTTAACCAAGATACTAAGGTTACACATTGAAAATAAACACAAGTCGCCATGATTGATCGGTTTAAGTTTGGTTTTTCTTTACGTTAATGCATTTTGTATACATGTAGGTGGTCCTTAACTTTTGCAAATGACTGTATTAACCCTATAGCCTGTGTCACCTTTAGCATACATCACCACTGTGCATAATAAAAATGAAGAAAAAAATATCTTATGTCAGATACCTATACAAGTAAAGTACCTGCAAGAAACTTGGCATTCCTTTGCGTTACAGAAAGCTAACTTAATGCCACATTAGACTGTTTAAAAAGTACATCAAGCTTGTTAAGTTTGGAAAATTGACCCACATTTGCATGTACTTTTCAAGAAGCAATCACAATTGTGAGTTTCAGTAGCGTCCTGTGAAAAACCTCACTCTTCGTATTCAGACTGGTCATATTAAGGTTTAGAATGCTTGCAGGCAAACACTCACTCTTCATATTCTGACTGGTCATATTCCTGTTTGGAATGCTTGCAGGCAAACACTCACTCTTCATATTCACACCGGTCATATTCGTGTTTAGAATGCTTGCAGGCAAACACTCACTCTTCATATTCACACCGGTCATATTCAGGTTTAGAATGCTTGCAGGCAAACACTCACTCTTCATATTCACACTGGTCATATTCAGGTTTAGAATGCTTGCAGGCAAACACTCACTCTTCATATTCACACTGGTCATATTCCTGTTTGGAATGCTTGCAGGCAAACACTCTTCATATTCACAACGGTCATATTCCTGTTTAGAATGCTTGC